CGATAAGGAGTATCGATAAAAGTATCGATATCAATAAATATTAACGATCCCCATTCTTAGTTTTAACCTGACTATACAAGACGTAATAGATTTTCCTAACAATCACCATATACCGAACCGAACCGAAAACCGTGACCACGAAACCGTGAACCGAACCGAACCGTGGATTTTGTGAACCGTCCCACCCCTAATATCTATAGACGAGACGCCGCTAGCATCTCTGTAAGGACTGGAGTAGGGGCAGGCTTTGGTTCTCAGTTCTTTTCTCTTTCCTTGCTGCTATAAATCTGAGTCTCGATGGTGCAGGGTTTTTCTATTAAACTCTCACTGACAGAGCCTCTTGTGCCGAGGCAATCCTGTTTGAATTTAATAAAAAAACCAAGCCTAAATATTGATTTAAAGCCATTGGAGTATTACTTTGCCTGCTTCATACATGTATAGTATCTTTAACATTAACACTGATGTCCATTAATGTGCTCTGTCCCTATTCAAATAAATAAATAAATAAAAAATAAATAAATAAACATGTTTGCTTACAATAACCCACTGATGTAAATGTTTCCATAAAACTAAATCAAAGATGGCTGCAAGCAGCACATGAAATCTACTGTAAATCTACTATGATTGACCTTTTTTAACGAGGTCAGAATTCATAAAGAAGTCACGTTTTAGTGGTGAAAGTCACACAGAAGTCGAATATGAATTAGTCATTATGGAGGGAGGTTTAAGGACTAGTTATGAGACGGGTGTTTAAAGATGCTCTGTGACTTTGGGGCTTGCAATCATCCTTTTTCATCACTTTTAAAACTTTTCCTTGCAGGTAAGGCTGGGCCAGGGATGACTTTTTGTTTTGAACTTGAGTGACATGTTCCCCATTCAGCCCTTACAGTTAGACATTAAACAGAAAGCGGAGAGATGAAGAATTCCCGGCCTCTGCTTCTTCCCCAGCAGCCCCGACTCCTCCAGAAAGTTTGACATCTGTGCTCTACATCAAATCTGAATCCATCCTGGCTGTTTTCTTAAAAATGAGACACACTTACTGCAGTTCTCCTCGTCCGACCCGTCCTTGCAGTCCGTGTCCCCGTCGCAGTACCAGTGCTCGGCGATGCAGCTCCCGTCCGAGCAGCGGAACTCCTTATCCGAGCATTTGCGCATGTCTGGCGTGGAGAGAACAGGCCGTTAGCTGTGTGAGGAACTCTGGGAGCAGCCCTGGGCATAAAGACCTGCTCTGCTCCGGACCCTCTGGGTTACTGAGCATAAAGACCTGATCTGCTCCGGACCCTCTGGGTTACTGAGCATAAAGGCAGATCTGCTCTGGACCCTCTGGGTTACTGAGCATAAAGACAGATCT